ATTCCATGGGCACCACAGTGTGAAACAGACAAACAGAATTGCTAATAAATAATATATCAGCACTGTTTCACTTCTGCTGATGCACTGAGCAGCCATGTAGAGTCTAAAATCAGGCGTTATTGCAAATCCTTTAAAATGGACTTCCATGAGTTCTGGTCAACAGTTCCTACTGCAAACTCAGAATTTCTTATTTTCTAGATAATTTGTTGTATCTCAAGATGTTTGTTGTTTTTTGCCCTTTATCTGCTCCTGTGTGTAGGACTAGTTTCTTACGCATCTCTTCTGAAGCCTTCTGTTATGTTTTGATTCGATTTTGGACTGTTGAAATGTTTTTTTTATTTTTTTTTTATTAGAACGTTCAACAAGAATACAAAAATCTACAGAAAAGGTACAAAACCTAAAACAAAAATACAAACTAAAGAATATGCCAGGGGGAATATGAATTACAAAAAGCACTTTAAATTTACCTTAAAGCAAGGTCACAGTGATGTTTACAAGATCACATACAATACAGTCATCTGGGTATTATAAAAAAGAGAGAATATTGTAAGATTCACATAGTGTTACGGATTTTAAAGCTTTGACATTGCTGGAGGTAGAGATTGTATTTAAATAATATTTCAAATCTTTACAAAAAATAAGAAAAAGGTGCTTTACAGACAAAAATTTGCTGTTGAAATCATTCAGTGAAGTGACAGGGCACCTTTACCTGTCTGTTTGAAAATAATTTCACGCCTTAGAATTTTCATTATCCAATCAGAATCAAGCATTGATTGGCTGTTAAATGCTTGATTCTGATTGGATAATGAAAATTCTAAGGTGTGACATTATTTTCAGGAAAAAGCAGGCTGGTATATATATATATATATATATATATATATATATATATATATATATATATATATATATATATATATATATATATATATATATATACTGTTTTATGTCTGTTGATGCACTAAGCAGCCATAATGAATTCTGAAGACAGGGTTGAATGAGTTGCAATTTAAGCTGTAAGCAAAGAGCGTAGAATCACCAAGAGGCGACACCAGTGCCACCATTCTCCGCGGCCATTTTGGAATGAAAACTCCAATAGAACAACAGCATATTATAAGACTGTAAAATAAACTATTAAAAGTGCTGATGATTGTGATAGTAAGTGTTTTATTGTCATCTTTCAGGTTGTATCTCAGCTTTAATGCGCTTTTAAAAAATAACTAAATGAAAAACAAAGCAGCTGCTTACCATCGCGACAGATCCAATGGACGGCCGATCGCTTTTACTCTAAAATGGCGGAATCAGGAGCTGTTGGTGGGCGCTCTGTTGCAATGGAACGTTCTACTGAGTGTCGCCTCTTGGTCATTCTAAGCTCTTTGCTATAAGGAATGTTCCAGAAATCTTCACACAGAAAACTTTACAGGTATGAATGATTGGACCATAAGTCAGTTGTTATTAGTTTGATTAACATGCTTGTAGAGAGCATCGGATTGGATGAAAATCTGTGTAGTTCTAGATGAATCATCAAGATTTTTGTCTCGTTTTGGATTTATTTTATTTATTTACTTATTTATTTTTTATTGTTTATCCTGATTTAAAACCCAAATCACGGTGGCTCAGTGGTCGCCTCACAGCAAGAAGGTCGCTGGTTTGAGCCTCGGCTGGGTCAGTTGGCATTTCTGTGTGGAGTTTGCATATTGTCTTCGCGTTGGCATGGGTGTTCCGGTTTCCCCCACAGTAAAGACAAACGCTATAGGTGAACTGGGTAAACTCAATTGGCCTTAGTGTATGTGTGTGAATGTGAGTGTGTATGGGTATTTCCCAGTACTGAATTGCAGCTGGAAGGGTACCCGCTATGTAAAACATATGCTGGATAAGTTGGCGGTTCATTACACTATGTCGACCCCTGATGAATAAAGGAACTAAGCCGAAGTTAAATGAATGAATGAACATCAAAATCAGTAACAGGACAGTCCTGTAATGGATTTTTGACATTTTTGATGCCAGTGTTAGACGTCAATTTGATGTCGTTTTGACATTAAGGTAGTTTACATGCTTTGTATCGATACAATTTTTTTTATTTGTAATCGAAGTTTTCGGATGAATAACGTTTTTTCTTATATTTAAATACTTTTTTCCTTAATTGTTTTGGTGGTCAAAATGGCATCAATCTTTGGATGTCAAATAGACACCAATGTTTTGACATCAAATCGATTAGCATTTTTGACATATTTTTTATGTTGTTTTGACATCATTGTGCCAACTGGAAAAAGACAAAAATCGACAGTAAGAGTTGATGGATTTTATAGAAAGTCATATTGTGTATGTTAAACAATTGATCAATAAATAACAAATGATGAAATTTATTGCATTTTTAGACATTTAGGGTGCTTTCACACCTACACTTTGTTTCGGAACGTATCTCGTTTGCCCAGTTAGCGCGGTTCGTTTGGCATATGTGAACAGGGCAATCACGCTCTGTTCCGCGCCAAAGTTTTTTTTTTTTGCGCCAAAGTAATCGCTCCGAGATCGCTTGAATGAGGTGGTCTCGGCTCGATTGAAACGAAACCTGGAGCGGTTCAATTGCAGTGAGAAAGCGATCTGATCCGAGCGCGGTTATATCACAGTGTTTTATGGATATGTAATAGGCTTACGGCTATATAAAGAGAGAATTATGAGTAGGGCGGGAAGTTTCGCGAGTCTCCGGATGCCCGCAAACGAGTGATGATCTCCCGGTAATCTCGCGTCCCCCTCCCGGTCCTCAAATAGGCATCGTCGCGCACCCTTCTCACCCCTCCCCACCGCGTCTCTCCTCAGACACGTCGCGCGCACCCTGTCAATCACCACCAAACCACCACCTCTCCTGACAGCTGAGCGGGACGCTGCAAAATAAACCCTGACACTCTGACCAATGTGAGGAGAGTTTACTCACACGTGACTTGTTTTAGCTCTTTTGGTCCGATTAGAAACTTTGAAGTGTGAAAGCGAACCGCTCCAAGAGCAAAGAGCAACAATGTAACATTTGTAATCTCTGTTTCGGAACAACTGAATCGATTCACAGGTGTGAAAGCACCCTTAAGCAGGTCGCACACCAGAAGTGCCGCTCGGCGGCGCACCGCGCAGCGCCACGCAGCGCCATGCATTTTAGAATTCTAAACATAGGTTTCTATCACGATACACACACCGGCGCCGCAAGTCGGCGGCTGTCGGCGGCGCCCGGCCACGGCTCAGGAAGCAGTTCATTTTTCAGCCGCGCCACAGAGCGCCATCTGATTAGTTTCATGTTAAATATCATTCGAATGTGCGCGTCTGGTGTGTGATACTTTAAATTGTCATGTGCGCGCCGTGTCGCGGCGCCGAGCGGCGCTTCTGGTGTGGGACCTGCTTCAGACGCACCAGGTAATATGAGGAGATTTAATAAAGACTTTTACTCATGCTGAAACTTTTACATATAACAGATAATATAAATTTATACTCTTTTATCAACTTTTTATTTCCTCTTTTTTGTGGTCAAAACGGCATCAATCTGTGCATGTCAAATAGACGTCAGTGTTTTGACATCAAATTGATTCACATTTTTGACATCTTTTTGTTTATCTTGCTTTGACATCATTGTGCCAACTGGAAAAAGACAAAAAACGACAGTAAGAGTTGACAGATATTAAAAAAAGGCATATTGTGTATGTTAAAAACAGATAACACTGTCAACAAACATTGCGTTTACCTCAAAAAAGCCATTAAGTGTCAACAGTTACAAATAGTAACAATTTACAACATACTGTAGGTCTCAAACTTAATTCCCAGAGGGCCACTCCTCTGCACAGTTTTGCTCAGCTGATTCAATGATTGAGGTGTTCAAAAGAGTCATAGACACCTTCATTAGTAGAATTAGCTGTCTTTGATCAGGGTTGGAGCAAAACTGTGCAGAGCTGTGGCCCTCCAGGAACTGAGTTTGATGCTTTACAATATGGGAAATGTAGTGAATTGAAGGATTTAATCATGTTTTGTTAGTTCATGCCAATTGATGGTTCATTAACTAACAAGCACAACATTTGACTTGAATAATCCATTAGTAAAAGTTGACGATTAATAAATGCAGACTCTACGTTTGATGTTTTGAGAACTTATTGTTTTCAATAGTTACAAATCGCTGGAATAACTTTAATGTCTGGAAGTGTGCATACTGTAATGTCCTTTGTTTTTAATACAATTTATTGTAGGAAAATGGCTTGTGTTTTAAAAGTATGTCCTCAATTAATATAGCTGAAGTCAAAATTATTTGTATTTCTTTTTCAAATTCTTCCCAAATTATGTTTAATATAGCAAGGAATTTTTCACAGTATTACCTATAATGCTTTTTTTCTTCTAAATAAAGTCGTATTTGTTTTATTTAGGCTAGAATGAAAGCAGTTTTTATAAAAAAAAAAAAAAAAACGTTTTAAGGTCAATATTATAAGCCCGATTAAGCAATATTTGTTTTGATTGTATACAGAACAAACCATCATTATACAATGACTTAATTACCCAAATTAACCTAGAAAAGCCTTTAAATGACACTTAAAGCTGAATACTAGCATCTTGAAAAATGTCTAGTAAAATGTACTGTCAACATGGCAAAGACTAAATAAATCAGTTAATAAAAATGAGTTATTAAAGTTATTATGTTTAGAAATGTGTTGAAAAAATCTTCTTTCCATTAAAAAGAAATTGGTGGAAAAATATACGGGGGGCTAATCATTCAGCAGGGCTAATAGTTCAGACTTCAACAATGCACATTTAATGTTTGTTTTTCAAGTCATCAGAGGAGCTTCTCTTTTGTTCTCCTCGCCTTTGTCTCTGTTTTGTAACATTTATGAAGAGAGGAAAGGGTTGTGTTGGTGATGAGAGGCCTTGAGTGGTGATGGGAATGAGGTGGGATTCACAAAGACCCTTATTGTGACACTGACACAGGCTTCACACGGGCCTGCCGAACACAATCCGCAAACACCAGTTGAACCGTTTCATAAGCTGTTTATTTCTCTAGTGAATTCATCTCTTTATTTTCTGCACAGCAGCATACAGGGAAATTGTGACAAAATATAAATAAAAAAATTCAACAGTGTGTGTTTTTTTTTTTTTTACTCTTTCAATTTAATTACAAACCGCAGTTAAAAGTGGCAAACTGGCCCATGTCTTCAACATTTGATTCTTAGTCTTTCTCACAAACCAAGAATGTCACATTGAACAACAACTTAAAATGCATATCATCATCATCATTATTTATTAATATTATATACAGCTGTCACCTATTAGCAAACAATGCTTGGAGCTTATTGGGATTTCACTTTCCTCCGCAGAATGCACTGAAGAAAAAAAAATACAATTATGTTATACAAAGATCAAAAATACTATTATAAACCCTTGTTATAAATGGTACACTATATTAATAAACCGCTGTCCACATTTTACATGTAAGTACAAAAGTCTTGGTGAGGTAGTTCCCTCTGAAGTCACTTTTAAACGGCAAAATACTGAATAGACATCACTTAATTCTCATTTGTTTATGTCGTTATTTACAATACAGCAAATCTATGTTCCTTACTTCATTCAAATCGACTTACTTTGGTAAACATAACTGTCAGAAATGTGCAGTCCTGCAAGAGTCAAATTGTACATTCACAATATGTTTGCATCCTTTTTTTTAAAGTCGTGTATTTTGGGGTTTATTATTGTACATAATGCAAAAAGGGGGCAAATACATTGTTTTTACAAAAAAAGCTTTTTATTAAGAACATTCATACGTGCTATATTCCACCGTGGACCCTTGAAGAGCTGTTTCTTGTAAACCTCTCTCTTGTGATGTTTTGGAGAAAGGTGAACTTTGTATCGAGCTGAAGAGAGGCACCCATAGGACTTTTGTTTTGTCTCCAGTGTGTGTTCCCCTTAGCAGGGGTGTAAACATTGAAAGGGCACCTCATGCAGAAGAATAGCCTGCGGACGCACTTTACATTACAGCGCTCATCTTACACGCTTTCTGGAGCTGCTGGAAATCCCAAAATATTCGGTATGCGTCAAACAAGAACCTTGTAATGTAAAATGCCCGTCTCTGTCAGTGGGTTTTGAAATAATTAGTCCGATTATGAAGTTATGCTGACAACACGAACGCGCAACAGAGCCTCTATTGTGTTGCTCTGCTCGCAGACGTCGGGAAGCCGCGGAGTGGACTTTCAGGGGAATGGGATTAAAGTTCATAAACGAAGACATGTGGAACATTCTTCAAAATCGCTTAATGGCAAAAAAATAAACTTTGGTTTAAAGACAAAAAAACGAGGTGCAAGCTTTGCTTACAGTGAAGTAAAATACTCGAGCTGAACAGAAGAGCAAATATTCCTCTGGTGCCAACATTCACGTTTCCCATTTTCGACAAAAATAACATCTCATCTCTCTGACGCGCGCGCGCGCGCACACATAAACCGTGACTCGTGAATAAACATCTAAAAACCTATGCGTGAAAAGGAAACAAAAATAGCTTTTTTATGAATAAAGTATGCGATAAACTATGGAAATAAAGTATCTATAAAAATATAAGAGATTTTTTTTTGTGTGTTTCGTTTAACAAAAACATTGATATCATCTTATTTGTTTTGCCTAGTAGTTAAGACTCGGGAAAGCCAGTCAATCAGAACAGTCATCTGAAAGAAAATGTTCAGTGCAATACATGTGAAGTCTATAGGAGTCTCGTGTCGTTCGTTTCCTTTTTGTTTTAGAAGATTTTCACTCGCTTACCGCCCACAGCTCTGCCTCCCTTCAGCACTCTCTGGGCAGGCTGGTCTTTGGAGAGAGGGCAGTATTTTATTGTGTGCGCGTTGTCCCCGTTGGCACTGCACAGGGGGCATGTGTACGCCCGCAGGATCGGGCACACGACCCTCCCGTCCGGGGTTTTCAGCACGTGCGAGCCGTACACCTCCTCCGGAGCGCCGTTATTCCGACAGAAGACGCAGATCTTGGGCTCCTGCTTATTGCGCGCGGCAGGTTTCCTCATCTTCCTCTCCACGCCGAACAGGTCAAATCCTGCAAATCCCCCTCCTATGCCAATCTCCCTCTCCTGGGAGGAGGACAGCAGCGAGCCTTGGTTCTGGTTCTGGAAGGGGCTCAGGATGGAGAAGCGCTCCTTCAGGTCCAGGATGGAGATGGAGGCGGGCGGGGGGCAGCAGCAGGAATCCAGGTGTCCTCCGCTGTCGCCTTCGCCCATTACGCACGGGCACGGAGGGCTGTCGTCCAAGCCCAGGGTGGCTTTCAGCGACTCCGTGATGGAGTTGGGATTCTGCGGGACGCTGTGCTTGCTGTTCTTGGTCACCAGCGTGGACAGGCCGAGATAGTCATTCCAGAAATTAAAGGTGTAATCGTAGGAGGCGCGCGCGCTCAAGTAGTTGTGGTTCAGAAAATCCATGTCTGCTTCGCTCAGCTTAACAAACACGATGTATGTATATTCCGTCAGGTTTGGAAGTGCGCTCAAGTCCAGTGCGTTTCTTGGGTATGTGCGTCTGAGGAGCAGCATCTGGTTATAAGGCTCCAGGAGAGGCAGGAGGAGGGCGGGGCTCTGTTTCAAAGCAAGTTTCTGAGCAGCGGATCCACAGCGTGTTTTCTTCCTGCATGACCAGCGACTGTTCACTGCGGTGGAATGACACCAGACACTGCTTTGTGATGGCGTAAATATAGCAGGGCTCGTTATAGAGAGATTGCTCGTTGATCATGGCTCGTTTTAAGGGACAGTGACACGTCATCTGGTCTAAGATGATGATTATTATCATTAATATCATTTTCAAATTGTAAGTTTAACTTTGTAGTGCTTAGAAAGGTAAGCTTTGTGTTCTGTCAGATTGACAAAAAATCAAGTAAATACTACCAAAACGCTAGCATTCTAATGTAGCTAATACTTCATGTGCTCATGTCAACATTTGACATTATAATGATAATAATAATGAAAACAACAACAACAATAATAATACATTATTTCACTGTAGTTAAAAAAAATAAAAAAAATAAACATATATATATATATATATATATATATATATATATATATATATATATAATTTATATAATGGCTTAAACTATTTATATACACTAAAAATATGACTCAAAGATGATTCCTTGGATTTGCTCATTTTGTTTTTTAAGTTAAGTGGTTATAAACAATTTATTTGGGCTAAATTTAGACAAACAAACAAATTTTAACATTATTAAATTAAATTTGTTTGTTTAAACTCAACACATAAATTGTTTGCAACAATTTTTTGCAGACATAACTTTTTTTCAGTGTAGGCTGAATTAAAAATAAATAAAAAAATAGTTGAGCATTACTAAATTGAATTCAGCCCATACAATGCAAAATATCTGACCTTAAATTTACAGTAAATTAATGGTTAATAATTGCATTACTTTCACAGTAAGGTGTGTAAATCCACAGTAAACTATTGTAAGGTAGTTCATAATACCAATAATTCATAAAATATTTTTTAAATATAAAAAGGTGCCTGTAATAGCATTAAAGTTAATGTGTATTAATTTCTGTGTATAATAAAATATAAATAGTGTTTGAATTCCTATAACTAATGCGCAAAAGATAAAGCATTTTTACAGTACTTTACTGTAATCATGATGCCTGCCTTAATTTCACATTAAAATGCGTATAATTTAACAGTTAAACCCTGTAAAGTGGCACTTAGTTGCAATGTACACTGTGGCAATGTAATTTACTGTGAAAAATTACAGTAACATGTAAAATCCTTGGAATTTAATACAGTGTATAAATTGTTTGCAATCAGTTACCTTTAAAAAATATAGTAATTCTTTAATAATAACAATAAAATTTTTAAACAATTTAATTTTAATAATTATGGTTATGCTTATTGTTTTATTATCATTAATATTATTATCATCATTAATATTATTATTATTATTTGAGAATGCGAATACTATGCAATTTTTACACATCCCATGTATGTAAAATTATACTAATAAAAATATGCATATTTTTATGCCCAATTAACAAAATCAAATTATCTGTATTATATTTACCTTGTTTAATTTAGTTTAATTTAATTTAAGTCAATTTAATTTTACTCTTGCAATAAAACTGCTACAAACAAAATGTTTCAAAGTATAACTGCTAATACAAAAAGATAGGTCTCACTGAACAGATCCAGCCCTTGTTCAACAATATCAAATGGTCCTCTGGCAAAATATGAAGGGAAAATGAGCATTGCAGTTTCTTCACAATGATACATTATTACGTGGGATTTCCTCTCTCAGTGTCATCTCGCAGTCACAGAGGGCCTCTTTCTGTGCTCTGCTGCTCTGTACAGTGCAGTCTGGATGTGTTCAGGATCACATTACATGTGTGTCATTAGAAACAGAGGGTCGTGGTGCACATGGGCTCTTTGTTCCTGCAGAACATGCCATGTGCACACCTGCAGGCCAGAGACATTGTAGATCTTACTGTTCATTCGCACGCTTTCCATGAGGTTTCAGACACTTTTCAATTTGAATCTACTAACTAAACTCATGTTCTCTTGAGACTGATTTTAAGGAATGCTGTTGTATTAATAAGACACAATTAGTTAATATGTTAATGTTTTAATAATTAACATATGTTTCAGAATTCAGTCATCTTTGTTATTTCAAAATGTGTTGAATGTTAAAAATAAATTAAAGTATTTTTTCATTATTTATTCCTTATATGGTAGCTAACATGGATATCACTTAAATGTGAAAACAATCTGCATAATAGATCAAGTAATAGATCATCTATTAACTAATCCATCCATCCATCCAAGCAAGCAAGCAAGCAACCAACTATCCATCCATCCATCTCTCCATCCATCTCTCCATCCGTCTATCTATCTATCTATCTATCTATCTATCTATCTATCTATCTATCTATCTATCTATCTATCTATCTATCTATCTATCTATCTATCTATCTATCTATCTATCTATCTATCTATCTATCTATCTATCTATCTATCTGTCTATGTTAAACACATTATAAAAATAATTTTCTTCGAACTATGTAATAAATCTGCCTTCATAGTCATTATAAATAGTCATATGCTCTGCTTATACAAATATTTAAGGGAGTCTATGCTACAAACAAACATCTCTGTCCAGTGCAACATGTTATGTATAAACAAACAACTTAACAAACAATTTGAAGGGAAGATTTTTTTTTTATGTTGTAAACATAGAATGGAATAGAAGAATATGTTTCACACAAATGTTGCATAGGAATTATAAAAAATAAAGATAAATATTTTGTAATGTGTAAATGTTTATAAAAAATAATAAAAACAAAAAAATTTGTAACATATATATATATATATATATATATATATATATATATATATATATATATATATATATATATATATATGTTACATATGTAAAATGTTAATCAAATTACTACACAAATATTTCAGTTAAAAAAACTTAAAATGGGTACAAAAGTATTTCAAATGTGAAAAAAGTATTTTATAAAAGAACAGCACTTACTAATATATATATATATATATATATATATATATATATATATATATATATATATATATATATATATATATATATATATATATATATAGGCCACTTTATTAGGTACACCTATCCAACTGCACAACTTAAAATAACGCAAATTTCTAATCAGCCGATCACATGGCAGAAGTTCAATGCATTTAGGCTTGTAGTCATGGTCAAGACGATCTGCTGCAGTTCAAACCGAGCATCAGAATAGGGAAGAAAGGTGATTTAAGTGACTTTGTACGTAGCATGGTTCTTAGTGCCAAACAGGCTGGTCTGAGTATTTCAGAAACTGATGACCTATTGCAAATTTCACACACATCCAACTCTTTTTTGTTTTACAGAGAATGGTCAGAAATAGAGAAAATATCCAGTGTGCGGCAGTTCTATGGGCGGAAATGTCTTGTTAATGCCAGAGGTCAGAGGAGAATGGCCAACCCGGTGTTGGTAAGGTGTACCTAATAAAGTGGCTAGTAGGTTTATATATATATATATATATATATATATATATATATATATATATATATATATATATATATATATATATATGAAGGGTTCTGATGCAAAAACCTTTAAATGCCATCTGAAATGTTCTCCTAAAATGATATATTTTTTTGTCAGCCTCCTCTGTTTATGTTCAGTTATTTCATTTTAATTTTAATTATTCGTCACAAAAAAAGTAAAATTACTAAGCCAACACACAGGAGTCTGAGAAATATGCTAATTTTAGACGAAAATATTTGATGGCTTTTAGAGGTTTTCGCATCTAAACTCTTCATATATATATTCATTCTTTCATTTTCCTTTCGACTTAGTCCCTTTGCTAATCTGGGGTTGCCACAGCGGAATGAATCGCCAACTTATTCAACATATGTTTTACGCAGCGAATGTAAAATAAAATAAAAACATATATAAATATATACAAATACTGAGCTAGAAAGTATTTCTTGCAGTGCATTATAAGCAGCTTCAGTGTGAATGCAGTGTTATTACAAGTGAAAGTCTCCAGCTGATTGTCAGTGAATGCAGACCCTCCTGCTGGACTCTGCAGTGGGCCATTATTCCACAGACTCTTGGCTCTTGGTCCTGGATCCAATTCGCTCCAACACACACACACACACACACTGGCCAAAAAAAGACATGTAACGAGCGTCTCGCCAAATTAACTCATCTCTCGGTAAACAAAAGGCTCATTTGCATTTTCGGTGGTTTTATTCAAGACCCCGTGATTCGGGAACACAGGTGCGCTGCAGCTGATTTCTGCACCCCGCGCACATAAATAACAGCCCTGGCGTGTCTGTCACACAACATCCCTGCAATAAATTAAGTGTGGTTATATTACATGATTGATTTAGAACTCGCCTACAAGAGACGGGAAATTATGCTCACGACTAAACTTATTTCAAGGCGTGATATTTTTACAGCTGCAGTAGCGCAGTGCGGCCAGCGGGGGTCTGTGTGAGCTCAGTGGAGCTGCTTTTGGGCATGACGTCACCTCGTACTCGGAGTGCAGCAGCTTGTGTAACATCTTAAAAGAACAATACAGTAAACAAGTCTTAACAGTTGCCAGAAACAGAGCACATGCCGCAGATGTGCATTACAATATTCATTCAGGAGAACATGCAGGTCAGCGCGGTATGTTTTCACGCCCTCCTCTTTGTTTTTGGGGTTCGTGTGTTACATTAATGCATTTAGCAGAAGCTACAAGAGGGATAAAAGCAGCTGGTCAAACAGCCAGCGATGTTTGCAATGCACAATAGCAGTCTACACTGTAAAACACGGCTTTTAGAAGATAAATAAAACAAGGGTTGTTGGAGTTCATTTAACGAGAGAGTACCAATTGTGGGTTTTATGTTTATCTTTTAATTTAACTGC